AGACTGATGGCCGAACAGGCTGCGCGGGGCGACCAGGCCGCGGGGGGTTAGTGAGGGGCGGCCAGGACACAGGGGGGTTAGTGAGGGGCGGCCAGGACACAGGGGGGTTAGTGAGGGGCGGCCAGGACACAGGGGGGTTAGTGAGGGGCGGCCAGGACACAGGGGGGTTAGTGAGGGGCGGCCAGGACACAGGGGGGTTAGTGAGGGGCAGCCAGGCCGGTGGCGGTGGCGGGTTGGGAGGGTGGGGGGTGGTGTCAGGCAGTTGGGGATGACCAGGCTGGGGGAGGGGGTGGTTGGGAGGGAGAGGGCAGTTGGGAGCAACCAAGCCAGGAGGGGGGCAGTTAGGGGCAACTAGGCCAGGAGGCAGAGGCGGTTAGGAGCCAGCGGTCCTGGATTGTGAGGGGGATGTCACAGGGAATGTAAGCAAATATTCCAATCTGTGACCAAGATTAAAGAATATTCAGGTTTAAATTAACATAAATTCATGTTTTATTTAAGTAAGATTTACAAGGTACCAGACACTATTCTAATATTTATTAGTATTAAAGTATGTACTTCTCCTAAGAATTATTCAACAAAAATACTGCTACTGATGAAATAAACCAACTAATTATGAGTATTTTTTAAAAAAAATATATTTTATTTTTTATTTTATTTTATTTTAAAATATATTTTATTGGTTTTTTACAGAGAGGAAGGGAGAGAGATAGAGAGCTAGAAATGTCGATGAGAGAGAAACATCGACCAGCTGCCTCTTGCATACCCCCTACCGGGGATGTGCCCGAAACCAATGTACATGCCCTTGACTGGAATCGAACCTGGGACCTTTCAGTCCGCAGACCGACGCTCTACAGCTGAGCCAAACCGGTTTCGGCTTATCATGAGTATTTTTTAATGAGAAAGATAAGCCAAATGAAAAGCATTAAAAGAACTTAAACCCATTGCAAGCTCACGAAACGTGGCTTTGATGTGCTCCAAGGGCACAAAAGGAGCTGCCGCCAGGCCAGCAGGGTCTGGTTCCCAGCCTGTGTGAAGGGAACCACTGCCCCGCTTCCACATGTCCTAGCTGAGTCTCAAACCCGAGCTGAGACTTCTTCTCAGGGACGCTGTGATACACACAGAACGCTTGCCAACCTCAGGATGTCTTACTCATCAGAGGTTCCTGCAGACTCATAATCTTACACTGCTTATCTAATGCCAAAAAAGAGAAAAAAAGAAAAAAAAGAGCAGCAGGATGGCCTGGAGATTGGAGCACCAAACAGGCCTGGAAAAAGGTCCCGCATCCCTAGTCTCCAGCCCCGCCACCTACAGCTGCTGCGGACCCTAAGGAGCTGTTTGCAGTGAGCACAGCTCAGTCCAAATGCAGAAGGACGAGACAGGCGGTGAGATAAGTGGACACAAATAGGTAAGAGAAACAAACAAAACCACTGTGCCAAATGTCTGGAGTCCTTAGACTTGCTATTTTGAAACGGGATGCCATTTTCAGATTAATATCCCAAATAGTTAAACCTACCCGGACCATCCCTAGGAAAGCCAGGAGTAAGGGGACCTGCAGGCCTTTATCGGGGTTCCCCTCTCCAGTCCGGGCAATCAGAAGCACCCGCAAACCGAGACTCTGCAAGCAGGAGCTCAGCTACTGTACAGGTAAGTTTTCTCTCTCTTGCTTGTGTGCATGTCTTTGGATCTTTTTTGTTTTCCTTTTTCTAATATAGGATAATTATGTTCATAGGTTAATAGCTGCTAACTGCTTCTCTCCTTCTACTGATAGTTTCTTTTCTCCGGTACTTAGTTTTTTTCACTACCCTCCTCCTTCCAAGCGCCTCACTGGTCTACCCTCCCTAACTTTATTCATGTCATCTGAGATGCACACCATTTATTTGCAAATGATTTCCGGACATCCCTGGTTCTCTTTCCACATCCCACCTCTCAGGCCTCCTCACTGGGTGCCAGGGGAGGACGGGCAGAGGATGAGCAGCGAGTCCTGTCTGAGGGCCTTGTCTTCCTCTGGGAGTGAGAGGCGCGTCTTAAGCTCTCATCTCAGAGTGAAAAAGCAGTAAAGAACAAATACATGTATCCTTTGACTTGTGTTTGAAATTTGTTTTTTATAGTGTGAAAGAAAGTCATCTTATGTGACCTAAGTTTTTATTTTCCTTCCAAACCGAACACATCTGCAAGCGGGAAGGCTTTGAATCTGGATAAGCAGTATTAATTATCATCAATGTTTCCAAAATGTAACGTCTTCACTTCAGCTACTTCCATGGCTGGCTGGCAGCCACATTCGGCTCAGCCAGACACCAGGGACCCTTCCAATCTGCCTTCAGCCCAGGGCATCTGCGGATGCATTATTATGTCTAGGAGAACAAGGCTCGGCTGAGTCACCCTGTGCAGTACTTGACCTCAGGGAAATACTTTCCATTCCAAGTCCCCCCGCCCCGCTCAACAGTTAACTGCCGACTCAGTTACCTTCCCCCGTCTGAACATCTTATTTGCCAATGACAGTATTATACCTACAGCGTGTCCCCCAAAAACATACACACACTGTAACAGCTGACAGCTCCATTTTGAAAATAAAATGTATTTTAATAAACACAGCCTTTATAATTATTCAAATTGTGTGTATGCATTTTGGGCGACACCCTATATATCTCTGAACCACCACTTCAAGTCTTTCCCTAACCCAATGACCCCACCCAAACCCACTATTTAAAACCTCAATAAAAATTATCTCCAGCCCAAACCGGTTTGGCTCAGTGGATAGAGCGTCGGCCTCCGGACTGAAGGGTCCTGGGTTCGATTCTAGTCAAGGGCATGTACTTTGGTTGCGGGCACATCCCCAGTAGGGGGTGTGCAAGAGGCAGCTGATCGATGATTCTCTCTCATCCGTGTTTCTAACTCTCTATCGGTCTCCCTTCCTCTCTGTAAAAAAATCAATAAAATATATTAAAAAATTATCTCCAAAAATCCTTCCTAAATGGAGTTCTAACCCTCTGCATTCCCTTTGTACTCACTAACTACGACACTAAGTTAACTGGCATCTTAACCTCTCCCCTTCGCCCCTCACCCTGCCCATCAGTCCATCCAGTGCCTCCATCCTGGGTGCCAGCACTGAGCCGCAGGCAAGACGCACCCTGGCTCACATTCACACCAACGAGCTAGAAACAGCGAGAGGACAGAGCCATCATCGCAGGTAAGAACGCTGGGTATGTCCGTGCTGTCCTGTTAGGGCTGCAATAAATTCAGGAAAATGCGGGAAACGGAGGATTAAGTCATGAAGTCTGTGGTCTCAAAAAAGAAAAAAGAAAAATCACCATCACAAAAAAATGCTTTAAGACAAAACAATAACAGAAACTTCTGAATTATTGCAAGGCTTTAATAAAATTCTGGATGGGGAACCTCCCAGCGTGACCACCAGCCTTTGGAAAATTAACTTCCATATTTTACCCACATCGGCTTCCCACAAATGTCCCTCCCAGGCAGCGGGGCGCATAAAACTGTGTTTCTGTTCAGAAACCTAATCTACCCCCAGATAGGGATGGAAGTGACAGGCCAGCGGTGACCTCACCCCCAGGTGAGGACGGGGTGACTGCACCCCCAGGTGAGGACGGGGTGACTGCACCCCCAGGTGAGGACGGGGTGACTGCACCCCCAGGTGAGGACGGGGTGACTGCACCCCCAGGTGAGGACGGGGTGACTGCACCCCCAGGTGAGGACGGGGTCACAGGCCAGTGGTGACCTCACCCCCAGGGGAGGACGGGGTGACCTCACCTCCAGGTGAGGACGGGGTCACAGATGAGCGGTGACCTCACCCCCAGGGGAGGACGGGGTGAGTGACCTCACCCCCAGGTGAGGATGGGGTGACAGGCCAGCGGTGACCTCACCCCAGGTGAGGACGGGGGTCACAGGCCAGCGTGACCTCACCCCCAGGGGAGGACGGGGTCACAGGCCAGCGGTGACCTCACCCCCAGGTGAGGACGGGGTCACAGGCCAGCGGTGACCTCACCCCCAGGTGAGGATGGGGTGACTGCACCCCCAGGTGAGAACAGGGTCACAGATCAGCAGTGCCTCACCCCAGGTGAGGACGGGGTCACAGACGCAGGGACCTCACCCGAGGTGAGGACGGGGTCACAGACCAGAGGTGACCTCACCCCCAGGGGAGGACGGGGTGACTGCACCCCCAGGTGAGGACGGGGTGACTGCACCCCCAGGTGAGGACGGGGTGACTGCACCCCCAGGTGAGGACGGGGTGACTGCACCCCCAGGTGAGGACGGGGTCACAGGCCAGTGGTGACCTCACCCCCAGGGGAGGACGGGGTGACCTCACCTCCAGGTGAGGACGGGGTCACAGATGAGCAGGTGACCTCACCCCCAGAGGAGGACGGGGTGACCTCACCCCCAGGTGAGGATGGGGTGACAGGCCAGCGGTGACCTCACCCCCAGGTGAGGACGGGGTCACAGGCCAGCGGTGACCTCACCCCCAGGGGAGGACGGGGTCACAGGCCAGCGGTGACCTCACCCCCAGGTGAGGACGGGGTCACAGGCCAGCGGTGACCTCACCCCCAGGTGAGGATGGGGTGACTGCACCCCCAGGTGAGAACAGGGTCACAGATCAGCAGGTGACCTCACCCCGAGGTGAGGACGGGGTCACAGACCAGAGGTGACCTCACCCCCAGGTGAGGACGGGGTCACAGGCCAGCGGTGACCTCACCCCCAGGTGAGGACGGGGTCACAGACCAGCGGTGACCTCACCCCCAGGGGAGGACGGGGTGACCTCACCCCGAGGTGAGGACGGGGTCACAGGCCAGCGGTGAGAAACGGAGGGCCCCGCAGCCCAGCCCCGCGGCCACAGGCCACAGGCCCCTCTCCCGCGCGCCCGGCTCCCCGCGCCCCGGCGGCGCCGCCGCTCCCGCACCTGGGCCCGAGGCCTTGGCCGGGCGCCGCCGCAGAGACCCGCCGGGCGGGGGGACGCCGAGAAGCCGCGGAAGGAGCCGCCGCCCTGTTACCTGCATGGAACCCGGAGGGCGGAGGCCGCCGCCGCCGCGGCCCTGCGGCCCCACAGCGCGCGCCGCAGCGCCTCTGACATTGAGACCGCCGCCATCTTGCCGCCCCGAGCGCCGGACGGGGCGCCGCGAGGGACACGCCTCCTCCGTCCCGGCCGCGGAGCGCGGGGGCGGGGCCAGCGCGGGGGCGGGGTCTCTGATGGGGCGGGGCTTAGCCCTGGGCCCGGTAGGGTCCCCCGCAGGGGCTGGGGCTGGGAGCAGAGGTGGGAGGCTGGGTGGGAGGTAGAGGCACAGCTGCCTGAAGGGCAGACAGTACCCCGTGAAGGGAGAACCGTTTGTTATGCAATGAAAAGACCAAAAGGAAATACTTGAACTTAAACGCTTGCAACTCATCATTTTTTCAAAGGCCTCGGAATAGCAGAAGCCAGAGGCCCTGTTTGGCTCCTGAGAATCTAAGCAGTACCTGTGCAAAGTGCTGCCCGGTGGAGTTCGCAAGCTCCCAGGACCGGCTGTGTTCCCAGGGATGGGCAGTCTGTCGTTGTTACTTAGTTTCAGTACCACGGCTTTTTGACGCGTGGATGTCTGTGAGAAGCTCATGGAACATGACGTGTGATGTCACTGTATTCCCAGTAATTTCTGAACGTGTGATCATAACCCACAGGCACCAAGAAAATTAATGTTCCACCCATCTGAAATAAAAAAAATCATCTTCTGAGACACGTGCTGGAAACGTCTGTCGTATGGGCTCCTGACCTTATGAACAATAAGATTATATATTATACATAGCAGGTTCGCTTGTGGTTGGTTTGGGGTTTTCAAAGAGATCTTTTAAAAAATGGGATGCTGCTTGCTTTTAGAAGTAAGCCCATAGGAACATAACCTTTCTTGCCAAAACCGGTGTGGCTCAGTGGTAGAGCGTCTGTCTGGGGACTGAAAGGTCCCAGGTTCCGGTCAGGGGCATGTACATTGGTTGCGGGCACATCCCCGGTAGGTGGTGTGCAAGAGGCAGCTGGTCGATGTTTCTCTCTCATCGACGTTTCTAGCTCTCTATCCCTCTCCCTTCCTCTCTGTAAAAAAATCAATAAAATATATTTTAAAAAGAAAAAAAAAGAAACATAACCTTTCTTAAAAGAATAGGATTAACAGCAGGAGGGGAAGGGCTCGTTTCTGCCCCGCAGCCAGCTAAAAGAAAACGTGATACTCAGGGAAAGGGGGAAGGAAAGAGATTTGGCAGCATAGCCCCGGGGGGAGAAAGCCAAGTCCTGGGAGAGATCAAATCCAAAGGAAGATAAAGCATGGCGAGGGAATTTTCTTTAAAACTTTTTATTTTGAAATAAATTATAGATTTCACAGGAAGACTGCAAAAATAGCACAGAGAGGTGTGTTCGCCCCGTTTCTCCCTCCGGTTACATCTTCAGTGCCTCTCCTAGGATGTCAGAGCCGAGAGCCTGCTGTTGAAATAAAGTCCACGACGCTGTTTCCATTTTTATAATTTTGAGATTTCAAGATGGCAGTGGACGTGTGCAGCACGTCTCCCGATGGGCTTCCCCCGTTCAGCGTAACGGCCTCCGATCCACCCAAGTCATTCCAACAGTTCTTCTCAGCAGGAGGGCGCGAGCAGAAGAGCTTGGCCAACCACAAAGGCAGGGAGCGCAGAGAGGGAAAGAGCCCAGGTCTGTCACGGTATCATGGACCTTCTGAACCAACCGCTGACCAAAACACCTCCAGGATCCTGGTTATGAGAAACGAGTGACTTGGTTGGCTACGCCTCTATTGGTTAGCTACCCTGCAGCAAACGTGCGCCCGATGCTTACACAGGCGCACCGTGGAAACCCCTTTCACACCCGCGTGGTTCCGGGTTTCAGTTCAGGGTTCGGGTTCTGGAGAAGGCCACACACAAATGAAAAGAGACTAGAAAAGTGTTAATTTGGGAAATGGGGGCCAGGCGGAAGCCCGAGAGAGGACTACTCCTTGCTCTGGCTTTGCCATCCCTACATATATATTATTGACTTTTTTCTTTTCTTTTCTTTTCTTTTCTTTTTCTTTTTTTTTTTTTTTTACAGAGAGGAAGGGATAGGAATAGAGATAGAGAGTTAGAAACATTGATGAGAGACACCAATTCAGTTGCCTCCTGCACACCTCCTACTGGGGATGTGCCCGCAACCAAGGTACATGCCCTTGACCGGAATCAAACCTGGGACCTTTCAGTCCGTAGGCCCACACTCTATCCACTGAGCCAAACGGGGTAGGGCTGCCATCTTTTTTATTAAGATTATGGGATACACCTATATCCCTCAGGCAGGAAATTCCAATAATAGCCAATCATAAGACTAGGGGGTGGAGGCTGCTTCAACTACCAATGTCTCCATCAAAACAGTGATTAGCCCTGACCTTTCGGAGCCATTAAGGTTGACCAGCCTTCCATCCTGTCCACACCTCCTCACGAGTGAGACAATGATCAGCTTCTAGCAGCTACTTCTCTGGCCTCCCTGTCCCAGTACCTCCTTCTCTGTAGACCCACCTGCACGCTATCTTTCATGTTCCTTTCTTCTTTGTTTGTTTGTTTGTTTGTTTCCACACTGCATTTTAATGCGATGTCATCATCTCTTTCTCCGAAATGGAAGGTAGGTTCTCTGAAAACACAGGTCATACACGTGTTTGCTGATCCTTTCCCCAGGACCTAGCTTAGACCCTGACACACAACAGGCTCCCAGAAGGTGTAGAAGGGGTGAATGGATGGGTGGATGAACGAATGGATCTAACTGAAGTTTTTAACCATCAAAAATAAGTTGGGGAGCCCTCACCGGTGTGGCTCAGTGGCTGAGCATTGACCCCTGACATAGGGAGGTCACGCTTTGATTCCTGGTCAAGATACATGCCCAGGTTTGGGGCTCCATCCCCAGTAGGGGGTGGGGGGGAGAGGCGTGTGCAGGAGGCAGCCGATGGATGATTCTCTCTCATCATTGATGTTTCTCTCTCTCCCTCTCCCTTCCACTCTACCATCAATAAAAATATATCTTAACAAATTAAGTTGGTGAAAGTAACTTTTTTTTGGTTATTTTTGCTTAGAAAAAGCTTGTCCAATTTTTTTTTATTTTTCAGTTACAGTTGACATTCAATATTATATTAGTTGCAGATGTACTGTATAGGGGTTAGACATTTTTATAACTTACAAAGTGATTCTCACAGCCAGTCTAGAATCCACTAACACCATGCATACTTATTACAATATCATTACCTATATTCCCTCTACTGTAGTTTACATCCCCAAGACTACTTTGGAACTACCAATTTGTTGTACAAATTATTTTTAATGTGATTGTTCTCCCAGGTCTACAGAGCTTACTGGTTTCTCATATTTCATCTTTGATCACGTGCCATTTCTGAGGACCGTGGTGGGATGCTGGGGAAAGGGGCCCAGTGTTGCTGGCAGCAGACCTGAAACCATGAATCTACCTTTTATTAGACTTGCATTTTAGAAAAAAAAAATTAATAATCTCTTTCATTTCCTTATTTCTCACATTTCAAATGCAGGATATAGGCCTTGCAGGAACAACAATAATTTGCTATGTGCATTTATGGTTTTTACAATTTCACTCAAATTATAGAATCTACCACTAGGCTTACTAGATGTCTAGGTCCAAATACCATTTTAATATTTCAAATAGGAGTATTAAAATGTGAATTCATTTAACTTTTTGTTTGTATTTCAAGCATGGTGGCCAAAAGAAACATTTAGTTTAGTCTTTCTGATGGCATGTGAAATTTACAGTGGATCTGAAGCTGTCTGGTTTTAATTTTTCCCCTCGCACATGGGTCTTCAATAAGGCATCCAGAAGAAAATAAATTAAAACCAGACATTTCTATCAGAAGTTTCACATGCAATCGCCAAAGGCAGGAAAATATTTCACCATCACTTTTTGGCTACAAGCTAATATTTTAAATTGTGTTTTATTTTTTCACTGCTCATTTTGTTGAAAACCTTGAATTAATACATTATCATCTTATAAAATTATTATTTTACTTGGCAGGGCTGCTGAGCCTTCGGCAACAAGTGAGATGACTTCTACCTGTAGTGAAGAACTGCCACTTGAAATTATTTTTGAAGAAAAAAAGGGTGCAAGCAACCAGGATACTGAAGGACTCAAGGAATTTTCCCACATGAATTTGTTCACATGCCCCATCGCAGTCTGGCATCCTAATCCCAAATCCTCAAACTTCCCATGTAGAAAACCAAACCAATTATCTTCCTTCCCTTTCTCTTCCCCACAGCAAATCTGTTCCTCCGTCCAGAATTCTCTGTCTTGGCAAAACACAACCATCTTCCTTCCAGTATAAGATGTTGTCGACTGTAAAATGCACCATTATTTTCTGGACTATTAAATACCGAAAAACAAAAATGCAACAAACCATTACTCACAAGCAAGTGTGTGTATCTGTATATATATTGGGAAATGCACATTTTTTAGAAGCAAAGAAATATAATCATTGCCTAACCCAATGTATTTTCCTTCCTTTGTCCTTATTTATTATTTATTGGTCTCTGGAATAAGACTTTATTTTTCAGCCTCTCTCTTGCTAGAAATAGCCACGTAACCCGTTCCAGCCAATGAAATACAAGGGAAAATTGTCATGTGACAACTGGGCCGCCTTCTTTAAACACAGAGAGCAACTGCACCTCCTCTCCCCTCCCCCTTTCACCTGCCTCCTCTACCATTCTGCGCCCCAGATGCAAAGGCCATCCAGACTCAGGTCATCAAGACGAGATGCCCACGATGGCAAAGGGTGAGGTGGACCAGCCTGGACCGGGTCCCCTGCGATCCTTTCGTCCTTCCTCCATGTCCCCGCTCAGCACGCTCTTGGTGAGATCCCCCTCCTTTCCTGGATTAAATTCCATGGCCCGTTTTCATCCTCATTTTCTTGCTTACACTCCCATCTCCCTTGCCCCTCTCCCTTTCTCATCCTCAGTGAGTCTGCCCCCTCAGTCAAGGCCGACGCTACCTCTCCTGCCCTGCCCCCGGCAGCTGAACAAGTCTGGGACAAGCGCCAGACCACTCTGATGTGGCTCACGGGCATGGCCCTCAAGGTGGTCCTCGTGCTCCTCGGACATCCTGATACACGTCCTATGTCCTCTACACATG